TGGAAAAAGTAGATGACAAATATTACAGAAGTATTTCGAACCCCGTTTGACTCAATATTATTAATGTTCAAAGATGAAGACAGTACATGTACATAATTTATCAAGGATAGAGGAATCCAAACTTTAACCTCAAATATGAACATAGAGCATACAGATCTCAAAATAAGACTAGGCCATACACTTAACGGAATTTTGGTGATCCGCTTTAAAATCATAATTGAGCCGCGTCATGACAAAACCAACATAATGGGTTTGCGACCAGCATGGATCCAGACCAGATCCGCGCATCCGCACAGTCTGATCAGGATCCATGCTGTTCGCTATTAGTTTTTTTACTTGTTATAGGGTCTGTAAGCGAACAGCATGGATCCTGATCAGACTGCGCGGATGTGCAGGCTGGTCTGGATCATGCTGGTCGCAAACCCATTATGTTGGTTTTGTAATCGAAAAAATAATGACAATTTAAAATTAGTTGTTTTCCCGATGATCCATATATTAAAAAAGTCCCCTTACCTTAAACAGCCCATTAGAGGTTGCCATTTTGGCGTGTACAGGACACTGTAAGGTAATCAAGAATATGTTTTGTCTCGTTTTGTAAAGTATTTTACGGAATTGAATTAACATTATTAGATTGAAAGTCCCAAAAGAATTTTGATAGGTGTTATTTACAGAAAGAGTACAGACTTTACTAAAATAAGTGTAGACCATATTAAAGGACAAATAAAAAGACAACAAAATAGCAATAATAGTTGAAAATATAAATTAGAAAATAACATGGATACGCGGTCCCGATCTATCAATACGTAGGACATATATAAATTACAAACCATTAGGCTGTAATGCTAAGTATAATTATTTTATATTAAAAGACATCTTACTGCGTAAGTAATCATGGACCTTTCCGAAAGTCTAAGATAAATATACATGTATTCTGTATACTCGACAGGTTAATAAAATCAAACAATAATTGAATACACATAAAAGAAACAATACTCGTATATTCAGAAGTTGGCAACAATTAAACACTTAGTTAGACATTCGATTTATCAATTTAATGATAAATCGAATGTCGAGCTGAATGTTGGGCTGAATGTCTAGCCAGCTTCACATTGAATCTCATTAGTGATAAAACGGATGTCGAGCTGAATGTTGGACTGAATGTCTAGCCAGCTTCACATTGAATCTCATTAGTGATAAAACGGATGTCGAGCTGAATGTTGGACTGAATGTCTAGCCAGTTTCACATTCCATCTCAACAGTGATAAAACGAATGTCGAGCTGAATGTTTAATGTCGATCTCTGTGCCAACTTCATAGCCTTTCTATTCAGAAGGTTTGATCATTTTGTGGTTGAACACTTCTCCTTGCTGTAGGCGAAAACACTGATGTGTAAGCTGAATGGATTATTCTCTTAAACTCTTTCCGGAATAAAGGCCCCGTTAAAGAGTAAAGGAAAAAATTCAGGCTGTAGTTACTCCAAAACAAACACCTCAAAAGTATGCTAGACAGCTGGTACCTTGCTAAGGTATGCTCATCAACATTTTCCTTGGAATCCAGCAAGTTTATATACACGCCATAAGGTGCACTTGTCACAAGGAATACGGTACAAAGGATGAAAAACATTTTGTAATTAGAATTATTTCTAGTCGACTTCGTGGTCCTGTCGCCAACAACTCTGGTACCTGTGTTGCTGTGTTGAACACGTTGTAATGCTCTTCTTCTCTTAATTAACGATATTGCCACAAGTGCATTTCCTATAACAATAAGAACAAAGGGGACAACCGACCTCATCATAAATTGTATTGTTTTCCACATGCCGTTATAGAATTTTAAGTACTTTCCTGGACGTGCTAAGCACAATTTAATTGTCCGAAGACTCGTTCCGTTATTTTCTGTACCGTTAACCTGTCTTTCAATAATGACACGGCTGTAGATTAAATGTCCATTTAGAGAGATGAGGAGGACCAACAAAGTAAACGAGACAATAACTGCGTTTCTAGCTGTCATCTTCGATTTTGCTGTAGTTGGAAACAATGTGACAAAAGCTCTTTCCGCAGTGACTAAAACAATAACCCAGCTAGAAGTCATTCCAAAGGTTTGACTAACCCATCCTGTCACTAAGCAACAAAACGATAACGTCGTTCTCGTATCAATTCCAAAAACAACTTTGAAGGTATGATTTAATGGTGCCGAACATAGTAGAATTGTATCACTTACAGCTAAGACAGTCAAATATACGCATGTTGATTTCTTTCGAAGTTTACCCGAGGAAAAAGTAATCAAACTGAAAATGTTGCCTATGACGCCGAAAACGATTATAGTAATTGGAACAACTGTCCAAATGCAAGAGGCTATGTAGCATTCTATATATCCAGATTTTTCACATTGAAGGGTAGCAAGATTTTCGTTCTTAAGCAGCGGCATCCTATAAGTTTAATAAAGGTAATATGTTTTTGTCTATGATGATATGTCTTCAAGAAAATTATTCCTAAGAAATGTTTACTGCGTCAGTTATAGAGACAGTTTGAAGCATAAGAAATACGTCAGAGGTTTTTTTATGTGTTGCCATGTAGCGTAACCTTTTTTTCCAATAAATGATAAATATAGGAGATATGCTCTGCAATGTTGAATATATTCTTTAGTATAAAATGAAGAACTTATTTGCTATTGATGATAAAAAAAAAATTTTGTTTTGTAATATTTATCTAATCTTTTGATAACCATTTAACAACGTTTTCATTAGTGACAAAAATCTGTAAGAGGTGTGATCCTACTCTGAAGCATCGAAAACAACAAATACTATAAACACTGCAGACTTGGTTTGATTGAGTCTGTTCATGAGAAAGAACAACATCTCTCACGCCCCAGCACCTGCTTAAGCGGTATTAATTCTTCAACTTCTACATATCTTTGTAGCAAATTGGGTATCTCTATATTTTAAAAGCATTATCAGCTAATGTCATGGCTGCATCCACTAACGACCCATTGCCAAGAAATATCGGAGGCCTCTAAAAGATACCTAGGTTACAAAAATTCAGTTCGTACCATCTTTCATTAACTTATAATTAAACATATTTTAATTGAGCATTAGATCTCATTATCGCATGCAGACGTGAATCATAGATACATGTGACGAAATGTATAACATGGGTTGCTATTTCATTAAATGTGTTCAAGAAATTCTTCAGAGTTACACAAATGTGAGATTCGTTTTATCCATTGATTATAAACGCATTGAAATTATTGAAAATACTCATTTTTAAAGTTTTTTTTTACGAGTGGTTAAGCGATTTTCCAAATGACTTTATTTTCAATGAAAAATCAATTTTGACGTTGGTGATATAACTCGTCATTTACGTGATTTTGCCTACATCACATGAAAAACAAGCCACATAATTGCAATTTGTGTAGGGTTTTAGTGATGGTTTATACATGTTTATAGATAAAAGGGAAAAAAACGATGCTTCCATTAAACATAATTTCCTATGAAAGAATAATTAATAATCTCATTTCTATCATTAATACCACGACGTGAAAGGTTTATTCAAACATAAAAGAAAAACGTAGAGACCTTTTATTACCACGGAAGAAGATTCTTGACCAGTCCTTAATTGAGCCAAAGATGACGTATATATAAATGGACAAAGAAATGAGGATTGCGTGAGAATATCATTTTAATATTCAGTAAGGAGAAGGCATGAAAAGTTCTCGAGGATTGCAGATCAAGTTCTTTTTTTTGCCTGAATGGATTTTTTTCTTCGGATTGGTTTGAAAAAAAAACGACTCATTATTACACATGCATGTACATGTACTTATAAGAATATCAATCAAAGAATAAGCTAGGTGTGGTAGGTTTTACGGGCACCATCACAGTATGTGAAATGGCCCCGAATCAGGAAAGATGATTTCGACTAACCTCAGGTAATACACACTTCAAAGCAACACCAGGGGTCAAACCACATCACCTGCTGGAGCTAAGAGATACATAGACTCCAGTTATTCGAATCCATTAAGTCGCCTCTTACAATCACGCAGGGATAATCGATCGCCTCAACCATTAAAGGCAACCCCTCAGCCACAAGGGGCTTATAAGCTATGTTTTCATATCTTGGTGTTTCAATTATCAGTGCTGCAACGAATCCGAAGAACTGTTTTACTCTACGAAAAGTGTGGTGTCTTTACCATTCGACCAAATGTTTTGTCGCCCACCAATTGTTACACTACATGTAAAACATAATGTACAATAGGTAATCTAATGTTAAAGCTCATGCCTCTAAATGAGCCAAAAATTTCAAGAAAATCAAACTTGAGAGTAATGTCCTAATATATTCAAAAGAAGCAATTTACATGTTATGCGAGTTAATGACAGATTTTGGAGTATTTATCACTCAGGTTTTACTACGCGACGCCTCTAAGGCAGTAAAGGATATTTTTGCATATTTTGGTATCTTTTTCTTGGTAATTTAGGTGAATTGTAAGTGCCGTTTGCAATGTGAACATTAATTTCTTTATTACTTTACAATATTTGTGAACATTAATTTCTTTGTTCACTTAACAATCTTTTACTTTCAAATACATTTTTCATGTTTGAGCATGAATCTTGAGGCTTGTTGCTTTATGAAAGCATAATCCTGGTAGAACCTTTAATACTTTTTTCTGATTTGTGAAGGTGTACCATGATAATTTAACGACTTTGAACGACACCTCGACTTGATATACTTGTGAAGTATGCGGCAAAGAAAATGTACGTGTCTTCCGCATTCTTAGGTATCCAAAGTAGTAGATAGTTGATTTTACATGGTGAAAATTAAAGCCTCTAAACAAAAAGTCTTGATTTTATTTGGGTTTATCCTTAAGAAATTCATGGCATTTCCTTTCTATTTTAAGATACTGGGTTTTATCAGTGGGATAAATCCCAATCTACATCACCGCCTGCGTTTATGAATCACTCACGCTGTACATAAATAGTGTATTTTTCTGACCTTTTCGTTAGGTTGCGCATCAATTCTTAAGAATGCGTAACTTTTCATAAAAAACTGCATCTCATTATTTATGGCATATTTCTCGATTCAAAAGTCATTATTTCATAGCAATAACATGAAATAAAAAGTTCTAAAGTGTTGTTCACATATACTTTCCTGTAATAACGATGTTACGTATAGGGAGCAAACTATATGCGTATCAATCGTGTTAAAGTTTTATAAATAATTACTTGTTGTTGGAAAATGTTGTCAACAGGACACTCTTCATGCTAACACATATACAGCACCTGTAAATACATAGTATCAATTACTTAAGATCATTATCTACAAAACAATAATTGTTTTGTCCAGTTAAAACTTGAAAAACCAATATTGAATTACAACTAATTAAAGTTTCTTATTTATTAGTATAAGACAATCCAAAGTTTCATTTTGGTTCTTTCAGAATTGCCTAATTTCAGGAGACTTCGATTTTCATATTTCTTTCTGATTCTGAAATGCCTTTTCTCCACAGTATTACTCATCAATATCACACGCATGCGCACGCACACGCACACAAACACACACACGCATTCATATACAGAGAGCAAATGAGATAAGTAACACACACCAGTTTCTGGAATCACTGTTTGTAATTCTTCATAGTGATCATCGGCAGTTCCTTGGACATCTGTAAGGCTATCATAGTTTGACTTTTGTTTGTCCTTCTCTCTAGCAGCCAGTCTAGGTAATGAAATGAGCTGCGTCACGACAAAACCAACATCCGCGCGTTTATAAGCGAACAGCATGGATCCTGATCAGACTGCGCGGATGCGCAGGCTGGTCTGGATCCATGCTGGTCGCAAACCCATTATGTTGTTTTTTCGTGACGCGGCTCATATATTAGATGTGTGATAATTATTGGTAGGTAAAAGCAACACTAGAGTCAGTTATTTAACATAATATTTTGGTACTTAAATATATTTCTCGCTGGTAATATAATTTACATCACCACAGCTGTTGTTGCCTCAACGCTAGCGGTACTGCATTGTTAGATAAGGATTTATAATACGACAAAATAGTATCGTATCACTAATATAATTATTGCCTACATGTTTTGCACATAGATAGATTTATCATTCCCAGGATGTAAATAGAGGATATTGAATGAGTGTAGTTTCATACTAAATTTATTGAACGAGTTGAATAAAATCATATTATGCGAGCCTCTGGCGAGCATAATATTATTTTATTCAACGAGGTCAATAAATTTAGTATTGAATCTACACGAATATAATATTCTATTTATCACATATATAATATAAGAACAGTAAACTGTTAAAATGGGTATTTTTTAATGACGCGCCTATAGTGTAACGCCAACATTAGCGCGCTTTAACGCTATGTTTCTATATAGCCCAAATGACGTCACGTCAAAGTGTTATTACACTAGTGTAATATCGTTTTTATTTAATGGCTTTATTACACTCCTGCGCCGCGGTTTATGTGATAAATCAAGTTATTTTATCTGGTAAAAGGTTTTCATGCAGTCACATAGCTCCCCTTTATGGAAATTTGAGTGGCCATGTAGTCTAGAAAAAGGTTTTTGTAATCGTAATGTACCTCGTTTTAAATCATCAGTATTTTTATATTAATTGAACTTGTGCAGTTTTAGTAAGAAACGCTTGAATCTGTTTTGCATAGCTCTGGACCTTACCTCTTAAAGGAATTTAACATAAGCCTTCCGATGCAAACAGTTAACATGTCGATGGATAATTTTCCTTTATCAGTCGTAATCATAAAGGGTGGCAATAACAACAAAATTGAAAATATTGCAGACTCGGTTTGATTGAGTCTGTACGTGTTCATGGATGGAAAAGGTTACGCACCATAAATGGCATAAGATTTAGCCGAGTTCAATACTGACATTGGTTTTTTGGGAGAAGTCGACCAGATGTTATATTGCTGCATATCAAAGACAACCTTCGAAATACAAATTTAAATAGCAGCTAGAGTGCTGATACAGCATTTCAGAACTTAAGGTAGAACCATACCACGATAACCGCTCAGGCTTCGATTTATACAGAGAGTGTTAAAGAAAATACTTGACTGTTTAACGTAGAATTCAGAATTTAGCCAAATATATTGATATATTTTGCTAAGAACATAATAACAATGTGAAATTAAAGTAAACCAACATCTTCTTTCATACCTTCTCTTGAAAATGACAAATACCGTTATACCAGTCCCCAAGACGATACTGATAAATCCAGAAACCGCGCCAATTATTGCAGTTTTCACTTTTTGGTCATTTCGTTTCTTTTGTCCGTGATCTGAAATATTAGGTATGTATCCAAAAACAAAATTACAGGCATTATGCTCATAATTTCATAGTCAAGTTGAGCTAAGTTGACTTTTTATTTCAAAAGATTGACTTTAAAAATGGTGTTTGACCAACATCTTATTTTGGGAAATGTTTTGGATAAAATTTAAAATCTGCCTGAAATATAAAAAGACTGCCTCACTCTTTTATAAACTAAACGTTTTAGGTAAGTTCTAATTGATATTTATAGAAATTCCGTTTTCATCCGGGAGTATTTATTGTTTATATGAAGTAAATTATTAAATTAAAAGGAATTATGGCTATATAAAAACTTATTTTGACTTTCACCTGTTCACTCACTGTATACCCTTGAATGAGCATAATGTCACGGAAATTTATCTTTGCAATAGATAACCTTTTTTTCCAATTATGATCCACTGACATTAGAAGAGTTTATCATTAATCCTATATCAACCTGTTTCTGTTGTATTCTAAGTTCAAACTATACTGTACAACATTTGGTCTCAAGCACATATTGTGATCAGCGCTTTAAAAAGTACGTATTAAATCAATATAAAGAGACAAATTTCTTGGTAAAAACATAAAATTACCATTTTCAATTTTCACTTGATTTGTAGAATTTACAATTCGACAGCCGTGACCAGTACCATAAGAGAACTTTCCCCCTTTTTGACATACTGCATAATCATTTTCCATTGACGAAAATCCCTGTTCGCACGTTAGAATAAGCTTATCTCCAATTTGAATGATTCTTGATGTCACATTTGCACCATCAGGGAAGGTATACGTGCCATTTGATGTAAAGTTTTCAGGAGGTTTGCATGATGCACCAACACAAGCTTGACCACCATTACTCCAACCACCGTCCTTTAGACAAGTTCTACTACGGCGACCGCCTTGCAATGTAAAGTTTCTATTGCAATGTATTGTAATTATTTCATTAACAGCTTTAACACCCTCAACGTAAGTAACGCCTATACTATTTATATAATAACCATTACCGAGATGTCCTGGATGAGGACATCCACTACATCTTGGTATTCTCTTTTCACTCCAAGTGTCATTTGTTTTACAGTATATGCTTGTAGGACCTTCCAGCAAAAATCCTGGCTCACAGCTAAAATGTAGAACACGCCCCGTTAGAAAAGTTGACTGATTTGGGCTCAGAATTAGATGACGAACAAATTTAAAGTTGTTAGTATTGCATCTAGCTGGAAAAAATGTGTGGAAAAAGATTAGAATGAATGAATAACGTAAAAAAGCTTGACTGAGGTCAAAAAGCATTGAAACATTTATTTTGAAATCCTAACAATTATCACTTTGGCACATAAAACGATATGCAAAATGATAAAACATAAATTCGGAATTATAGCATATATTGGTGTTGTTTTTTTTTGCAATTGTTAGCTCGATTTGAGTTAAAAGCTTTTCATTTTATGCCCATTTTGCACAATAAAATGAATATTCTGGAAAATTATCTGAAATACTGCACAGAAGTTATTAGTCAAATGGTTACTTTGAATGATGCAGAAACCTCGAAAAGACCTCAATGGAGTCCCTTTAAAATGCAATATCTTGTTCAAGAATGTAAATTTAAATGAGCATAAATCCTTTTAAAGCAAACATATTTAAGAGAAAAGCTATTAACAAATGCACATTGGGCTTAACTTACTAAGAATTTAAATAAAGTTAACATTTAAATGAACAAACTCAGTCAAACCGAATCTGTAACATCATACATTTTGCCTTTATAGGCGTTCTATTGAGATTCTTTTTTATAAACATGTGTTTGTTGTCATGACAATTTATCATCACCTGGATAACGTTTTTGCATCATTCTGATAGTTGTAATCGTTGAATGGCTAAACTACTAACATCCTTTTGCTTTGAGAGCGCCAGCTTGAGGAAGCAAGCACGTTTTATGGCGTCATCGATGACGTCATAACGCCAACGTTTTTGCCCGTACTTTTGTTTCAAATAAAACTGTATTATATATTCTTTCATATGATACAACATTCGTAAGTGTCTTATTATGGAACAACATTCTATTTATTTTAACATTTGAAACTGTATCAGATATTTTGAAACACCCTGTATATAAAAATCATTATAACGTTTCTTACTTAGATAGTCTTCAGAAAGGCAGAACGTTGTTGCATTGTAATGACCATCTTCCTGACACCGAATGTATCTGTAAACACCGAATGTTCCAAAAAGCCATGTTCTTATTATACTCCCACACGCCATAAAATCACCTAATTTACTTGCAGATCCGTTCACAAATGTTGCTCTACAACCATGGGTTATATTTAATGATGGACATCCAATCGCATTGCCTGAAAATTGTTTTGAAAATATAAATACATGTATAATATTTTGTATAAATATCATATAGATAAGGATAATACAGAAATTTATTATATACTTATGAAAGATATATTGATAAAACGAATTGCAATGAAACTTTTTCCATATTTTTACTAATGTCTTGTTGGACTACTTCCTTCTAAATTCAGCCAAATTATATTGAATTGCTTGTCTATTAGTTTTTGTGGCTGTTATACTAATTGGAAAAACAGGAGACTTCTGTTGTTTTTTTTTTAATTTACCATTAATCATTGATTTAAAGTGAATTTGCAATCAACATAAAAAAGTAAGATTAAAAATCCAACGTACTTGTCTTTATCAAACTTGCATGTATCATTAATAACATCTCCAAATTTATTTAAGTTACCTTCTATTTGCTTATAGTCTTCCGAGTAAACGTTTGTCAGAAGAACATGTGACACAATAGTTAGTTGTGTTAAATACAAGGTAACCATGTCCCTCTTTTATCTGAAAATAAAATTGAATTCTTGCTAAAATATATCAGTTTATCCATAATAATATTTGATAACTTCGCAAAATAATTTCTAACTGATTCAAAACATGCTAAATTCTGGGATAAAATAGAAAATACTTAAGTTGTTCGAAAGATTGTTTGTTTTTAGGCGTTAACTGGAATAAGAGTTTAGTAATTTAAATATGCTGTGGACTCTCAAAGAATTCATTTGTGTAGTTTGCTTGAACAATAATCAGCACAATTTGAAGTGGCAATTTCACGATGTTTTTATGGTTATGAAATAGGTTTAAATGAAACATGTTATTGAATTAATATTAATGCTATATGTACTGGCATTGAAATAAAAATTATCCAATGTTTTAAGATGTACAATAAATAAAATAGTATGTGAGAAGTTAGCAGTGAACAGTGAGCTAAGCAAAAAAGGCATTTCAATTTATATAGGGAAGGTAATGATCTGCTGTAATGCTCAGCTGTTTTGGGCATCTAGCAGGGCATTCCTAAATATAGTGTAAAAATGCTCTGCTGCAATACTCAGCTGTCTTGGCAATCTAGCAGAGCATTCCTAGCTTTAGTGAAAAAATGCTCTGCTGGAACGCTCAGCTGGCTAGGCAATCTAGCAGTGCATTACTAAATATAGTGTTAAAATGCTCTGCTGGAATGCTCAGCTGGCTAGCTAAGCTGGCTAGGCAATCTAGCAGGACATTACTAAATATAGTGTACAAATGCTATTCTGGAATGCTAAGCTGGCTGGGCAATCTAGCAGGGCATTACTAAATATAGTGTAAAAATGCTCTGCTGGAATGCTAAGCTGGCTAGGCAATCTAGTAGGGCATTCCTAAATATAGTGAAAAAATGCTCTGCTGGAATGCTAAGCTGGCTAGGCAATCTAGCACAGCATTACTAAATATAGTGTAAAAATGCTCTGCTGGAATGCTAAGCTGGCTAGGCAATCTAGCAGGGCATCACTAAATATATTGAACAAATGCTTTTCTGGAATGCTAAGCTGGCTAGGCAATCTAGCTGGGCATTACTGAATAAAGTGTAAAAATGCTCTGCTTGAATGCTAAGCTGGCTAGGCAATCTAGCAGGGCATTACTAAATATAGTGTAAAAATGCTCTTCTGGAATGCTAAGTTGGCTAGGCAATCTAGCAGGGCATTCCTAAATATAGTGTAAAAATGCTCTGGTGGAATGCTAAGCTGCTAGGCAATCTGGCAGAGCATTACGAAATAAATTGTAAAAATGCTCTGCTGGAATGCTAAGCTGGCTAGGCAATCTAGCAGGGCATTACTAAATAAAGTGTTAAAATGCTCAGCAGGAATGCTCACCTGCCTAGGCACTATAGCAGAGCATTCCTTAATAAAGTGAAAAAATGCTCTGGTGGAATGCTCAGCTGGCTAGGCAATCTAGCAGGGCATTACTAAATATGGTGTAAAAATGCTCGGGTGGAATGCTTAGCTGGCTAGGCAATCTAGCAGAGCATTACCAAATATAGTGTAAAAATGCTCTGCTGGAATGCTCAGCTGGCTAGGCAATCTAGCAGGGCATTACTAAATATAGTGTAAAAATGCTCTTCTGGAATGCTAAGTTGGCTAGGCAATCTAGCAGGGCATTCCTTAATATAGTGTAAAAATGCTCTGGTGGAATGCTAAGCTGCTAGGCAATCTGGCAGAGCATTACGAAATATAGTGTAAAAATGCTCTGCTGGAATGCTAAGCTGGCTTGGCAATCTAGCAGGGCATTACTAAATAAAGTGTTAAAATGCTCAGCAGGAATGCTAACCTGCCTAGGCACTATAGCAGAGCATTCCTTAATATAGTGAAAAAATGCTCTGGTGGAATGCTCAGCTGGCTAGGCAATCTAGCAGGGCATTACTAAATATGGTGTAAAAATGCTCTGGTGGAATGCTAAGCTGGCTAGGCAATCTAGCAAGGCATTCTGAAATATAGTTAAAAAATGCTCTGGTGGAATGCTCAGTTTGCAGACTGATTCTGAGTTCCAGGATTTATTGTTGCCAAAGTTTTATTGACATTTTCGACTTCTAGGCAATTCTGAGGCACTCGCAGACTTTCAGGAATTTTCGGTGCAGATAGAAATAATGATATTTTTGACTTCTAAGGACCTTTAAGAGACTATTTCATTGTCCTGCGACTTTTTGAAGGACACTCGCAGACTTTCAGGAATGTTGGTGCCAATGCTGATATTGACAATTAAGACTTCAAGGGACCCTCAAGAGTCCATTTTGGTCGTCTGCGACTGGTTCTTGGACACTCGCAGACTTTCAGGAATGGTTGGTACCAATGGAAATATTCATATTTTTGACTTCTAGGGACCTTTAAGAGTCCATTTCATTGGCCTGCAGCGTATTGTTGGACACTCGCAGACTTTCAGGAAAGTTTGGTGCCAATAGAGATGATGGCAATTTTTACTTCTAGGGACCCGCCAGAGTCCATTTTTATGGTCTGCGACTGAATCTGGGACATTTGCAGACTTTCAGGAATCTCTGGTGCCAATGGAAGTAATGACATTTTTGACTTCTAGCGACCCCCCAGAGTTCATTTCGCTGGTCTGCGACTGATTTTTACACTTGCAGACTTTCAGGAATTTTGATGCCAATGGAGATAATGACATTTCTGACTTTTAGGGAACCGCCAGAGTACATTTCTTGGGTCTGCGACTGATATCTTGAGACTCGCAGACTTTCAGGATGTTTAGTGCCATTGCAGATCATGACTTTTTTACTTTTAAGGACCCCTTAGTCATAAGCAGAGCATTTTTACCCTAAAATGTCATTATCTGCATTAGCACCAAAAATTCCTGAAAGTCTGCAAGTGCCCTATAATCAGTCGCAGACCAACGAAAAAGACTCTGGATGGTCAAAAATGTCATAAATTGTAATTATTTCTATTGGCACCAACAATTCCTGAAAGTCTGTGACTGTCCAAGATTAAGTCGCAGACCAAAAAAATGGACCCTGGATGGTCCCTAGAAGTAAAAAATATCATTATCTGCCTTGACATCAAAAATTCCTGAAAGTCTGTAAGTGCCTCAGAATCAGTCGCAGACCAAAAAAATGGATTCAGAAAGGTCCCAATAAGTCAGAAATATCATTTTCTGCATTAACACTAAAATTCCTGAAAGTCTGCGAGTGACTCAGAATCAGTCGCAGACCAACGAAATGGACTCATGAGGGTCCTTTTGAAGTAAAAATGTCATTATCGCCATTGGCACCGAAAATTTCTGAAGGTCTGCGAGTGTTCCAGAAACATTCGCAGACCAACGAAATGGACTCTGGATGGTCCTAAAAATTCACAAATGTCATTATCTGCATTAACACCAAAAATTCCTGAAAGTCTGCGATCGTCCCAGAATCAGTCGGAGACCAAAGAAATAGACACTTGAGGGTCCCGTAGAAGTCAAAAATGTAATTATCTGCATTGGCACTAAATAGTTCAGAAAGTCTACGAGTGCCAAATAATCAGTTGCAGACCAACGAAATTTATACTTTATTTAAGAATGCCCTGCTAGTTTGCCTAGACAGCTCAGCATTCCGGCAGAACATTTTTACACTAATTTTCAGAATGCTTTGCTGGATTGCCTAGCCAGCTGAGCATTTTTCGCACTATATTTTGGAACGCTCTGCTAGATTGCTTAGCCATCTGAGCTTGCCAGCTGAGCATTTTTAACACTATATTTAGGAATGCTCTTCTAGATTGCCTAGCCAGCTGAGCATTTTTACACTATATTTTGCAAAGTCCCGCTAGATTGCCTAGCCAGCTGAGCATAACAGCTAAGCATTTTTACACTATATTTAGGAATGCCCTGCTAGATTACCTAGCCAGCTGAGCATACGAGCAGATCATGTTTACACTATATTTTGGAATGCCCCGCTAGATTGCTTACCAAGCTGAGCATAACAGCAGAGCATTTTTACACTATATTTTGAAATGTCCCGATAGATTGCTTAGCCTGCTGAGCATAACAGCAGAGCATTTTTACACTATATTTAGGAATGCCGTTCTAGATTGCTTAGCCAGCTGAGCATAACAGCAGAGAATTTTTACACTATATTTTGGAATGCCCCGCTAGATTGCTTAGCCAGCTGAGCATAACAGCAGAGCATTTTTACACTATATTTTCGAATGCCCCGCTAGATTGCTTAGCCAGCTGAGCATAACAGCAGAGCTTTTTACACTATATTTTGGAATGCCCCGCTAGATTGCTTAGCCAGCTGAGTATAACAGCAGAGTTTTTTTACACTATATTTAGGAATGCCCTGCTAGATTGCCTAGCCAGCTGACCATACCAGCAGAGCATTTTTACGCTATATTTTGGAACGCCCCGCTAGATTGCCTAGCCAGCTGAGCATACCAGCAGAGCATTTTTACACTATATTTAGTAATGGCCTGCTAGATTGCTTACCCAGCTGAGCATACCAGCAACGCATTTCTACACTTTATTTTGGAATGCTCTGCTAGACTGCTTACCCAGCTGAGCATAACAGCAGATCGTTGATTTCCCTATATAAATCGTAATGCCTTTTTGCTTAGCTCACTGTTAACTGCTAACTTCTCACATACAATAAAATATCACTTACCTTTTTTTAGTTTTGATTCACTCTCAAACTTTCAGCGACATAAAGAACTCCCTTCCGCATCAAATGTTTACACTGAATATATACTTGGTATCAACGCAATGTTAAGTTCGTAGTTTGCTTTAGATGATATAATTATCATTATTTCTCTATACTACTGAATGCACATATTGCGTCTTCATAGAACTTTTTTACCGCTCAAACTCGAAATCTTTAATCAGGTATAGACAACGCATTTGAAAGATTTAGGAAGAACGCAACTTTTGGGAAATTTTAGTATTTATTTACAGAGGCAAACAGGAAAATTTTAACTTTGCATGATCAAAGAAAATGTCTGAATACTTTCCATCAATCTTCGGATAAACAATTGTGTGAGTACACAGAACGGATATGGTAATTCGGCCTAACCTACGCAAAGAAACTAAACATGTAAAAAAATAGTAATTTAATGCTGGGATTTGTTGACAAATTTATTTCCAATATATCAAGTAAAAGTCCACCTGAAACAAGGGAATTTATAGATACAAATGAAAACAATACTTTATTTAAATAAATGTTTTATTATGGTTGTAGAAACCGGAAGTACAAAATGCCAAACTTTTGCCAAGTCGGATTTCTTTAAGGCTGCATGTCTCCAGATGAGCCAAAATATTTCAAGGAATTCAATCTTTATACAAATATATTAATATCTTATAAAAAGTAAAAGATTCAATATCTAATTAATTATTTACATGTTATGTGGGGGCGTCCGTTGCCGAGTGGTTAAGGTCGTTGACTTCAAACCACTTGCCCCTCACCGCTGTGGGTTCGAATCCCGACAGGTACTTTGGATTCTTTCATGTGAGGAAGCTATCCAGCTAGCTTACGGAACGTCGGTGGTTCTACTCAGGTGCCCGTTCGTGCCTGAAATAATGCACGGAAGGGCACCTGAGGTCTTCCTCCACCAGTAAAGCTGGAACGTCGCGATATGACATATACTGTGTCGATGTGACGTAAAACCAAAAACAAACAAACATGTTATGTGCGGTTAGGGACTGATTTTGAAGTATCAGTCAGTATAATTTTACTGCGTTAGTAACGCAGTAAGAGGTATTTTTGTATATTTTGGCCTCTTTTTGGCAATTTACGTGGATTGTAAGTGCCGTTTGCAATGTGTAAATTACTTTAGTTGTTCACTTCCTAATATTTTACTTTGAAATACATTTTCAAAATTTTCATGAAAATAAGCATGATTACAGACTTGTTAAAAGTTTTCTTTTTTCCGCATTCGTTTTTACAATAAAATACCCTTAAAACTATTCGTCATTGTAATGGCATGTTCCTCATGTTTAGGTTGTCAACATAATCAAGAGATTACATATGTCAAACTATATTACCTTGGGCGTGTCTCTGCCCACTGCATTTTGTATTCAGAAACAAACTGATCATAACGACATTAAAAAATGATTATACTAGTATGAAAAATGACTATAATGGTATGAAAAATGAAAACTATCATAATGTCACTAAAAATGATCATACTAGAATATTTTTTACTGAAAAAATGAAAAGAAATGGTATTAAAATGAAAATTATCATAATAATATGATAAAGAACGACAACGTTATGAATACACTGTAATTATATTGTAACGAAAAGTTTGATTTGTAGCGATTTTAAAGACCAAATCGGGTTTTGCAAAATGTTTTCTATGTTGAAGGAAACAGGTATTATTAGTATTTACCCCGTGTTATCACTTTTTCATCATTGATTGCATACTGCTTAAGCCGGTGCTACGGGGCCTAAAAGGCGATTTTAACAACAATTTGTTTGTGTTTTTATTGCTTCAGAGGGATGTTTCATTTTCAGTTTTGAATGTGTGTGTGAGTGTGAATGTGTGTGTGTGTGTGTGTGTGTGTGTGTGTGTGTTAGTGCGTGTGTGTGTGTGCATGAGCGTGTGTGTTGGTGTGTGTGCTCTTTTTTGTTTTTTGTTGTTATTTTCTTCTTTTTTTTCTTTTAACACCAATTTTGAATTGTTGTTACGTTTTTCGGAATGGTGTTAATATTCAAATGATATCTGTCTAACGTTCATTTAGCTTTGATGTGTGTGTGAGTATTCACTGAGTAATGTTTTATACTCCAGTAATGACCAAGTATCTGTATAGTAACAAATTGTAGCTTTCATTCTTTATACATTGATTTGTCTGGCATTTAGTTAATTCACATGATTATACAATTTATATAAGTACACACGTATTTTGCTAAACTGTATATTCTTAAAAATCATCATTAAATGACTAAATTCCATTCGTACTCAGCTATATATGTACACTTGTAAAAACAATTTACTCCTTGATAACCATTGTAAAAAAAAGGGTATTTCTTGTTCAGTCTAATTTGTAATATCTTTTATCATAGATATAGTAAGGGTATGTATTATACACACAACACGATATATCAAGAGAATATCACGCAGAAACCATTAAATATATTCAAATAAACACTCAGAGAAATGAAAATTTGAGAACTTAGAATGAAAATCTCTTCCATCAATGAATAATTAAAGTTTTAGAAACCAAAACATATAGAAATAAGAAAAAAATACCCGAAAAAAGAGAAAATGCCAATGGAATGATTTGTACATGATTGTATGAAAAAAGTTTGCATCCAGAATCAATGAATCTCAGTTTTGCCCAAATATACTAGAAAATTAGCCCGAGACCTGATGGAGGTAAAATTGATTATCATTTGCCATCAGTAGAGAGAGCTATCAGACTTGTTAATGTTGGTAGGTCAAGTTTTGGAACTACTGACATTTTATGCATTTTTAACCTTTCTATATGTAAGGTTTGCTTTTAATGTCAATTAGATTCCTTCTTCTTCATTGTATGGTCCAAACGTTATGTACATGATAACTTAAAAACGAAAAAACACGTAAAAGCAAATAAATGTTAAATACATGTATGTTTGCAGCTGAATGTGCTATTTTTGCGTAAGATGTTACATGTAGTTTTGTATCTTCTTGCACTAATATGATGTGCTGATATGATTAACGTCACTTCTCTTCAAATATTGTCTTATGTAATATATATAATTTTACATCTTTGAAATTGTTCTTTTTTGTATAATTATGATGCTTTTCTTTGCTTAATGTTGTTTCTTTTCATTGACTGTGTTATGTAATATGTATATCTTCGAACATTCGGAGGCAATAAAGATGTATATGGTCAATTTTGAACTGTTTTTTTTTTCAAGGGTAATTATATAAGCGCATTGTACTTTGAATGTAAATATATGTTAATCCATCAAAATACATAATTGATTATTTGAAAGAGATAAACTTGTATTCTAGGATCTAATTGGTTCATTTCTATTGTCATTAACAAAGTTTTACATAACATTTTAAGCCTTTAATAGCATTCGTCACGATATGGCCAGTTATGTGTTGACGTGCCGTAAAAATCCAAACAAACAAACAAACAAACAAACAAATATGTTAATCCGCATAAAATCACTCAAATAATCTATACACGTTTTGTATTTTGTTGCACATAAACATGTGCTTAAAATGATAGCCTTTATAAACATTTACTTGTATCTAGATACAAGACACATAAGTTTTATGTTTCGATCACTTGCTCCTCAACTTTACCGAAATTACATACATTTTTTTGTACATATACATGTTTAATATTGTATCTTCTTGTGCACCACATTCTTTGGAATGTAAATTCAACGTATCAATCGGTAGTCTGCTGAATATTATAAAGTATGGTCATTATTGTTGCTTATATGGGCAGGTGTCGAGCACTAACAAATTGTTTGGATCCAGTCGATGCACTGCGCATTCCCAGTTTCGGTGATCGGCAAAACGTTTGAACCACAGAGACAGTTTTTATGGTGATGGTTTGTGACGTCAATATAGTGTAACAAGTTTCCGCATTGCCCTGCCGCGAAATTGTGCCTGCCCCTGCCACGATTTAAAACCTTTGTGGCAGAGAATATATTTTATCCGAAATTGTGCAAAAATTAGTTTTTCCAAGATTATCCCGGGCTCAAATATACTTGTACCGTTTCAGCTTTACGGTGCAAATCATATACGGTATATACAAGTCAAACTATTGCGGTTTTTATCGAATTTGTAACTGTAAAAGACAAAATTGTTTGTATCCCCGAAATTGCTTGGAAAATCAAAAATATTCTTTATTACGGTGTAAGTCTGTTAGGATTAACAATCGCACTAACGCAATTAGAAATGCTTTTGTCTGCAATGTAATTACCAACTGCTCACTTCTCTAAATAACGGGCGAATGAACTGATATTATTTCTAAACTAGGCATCTACATGTATCTTATCAATGATCTCTTCTCTTAAATTTTATAAAATTTGCTTAACAATACATATCACTGCTGCTCGATAAACGTTTTATGGGCACATAGCAAAATAATTTTAGGGCATACATTAGTGATAATGCAAAAAGTAATACCTTATCCAAAAACAGGCACATGCGACAAGGCATGCTACTAGTAGAATAGTACCAATGATTCCAAAAACAACGCCAATCACCATGTAAGTTAGAGACAGTTGTTCTTTGACACTTTCTGTTACAATGATTTATAATACCAACATAACTATCTACTTAGAGTAAGGCATAAAGAAAGCCAGTCATTGTTATAAGAATAATTCACAAGCTAGAGTGATATTATGCTCATTTTTATTAAGTTTAGCTCAACTGATTGTACATTTCGGAAGATCGGTTGTTATATTGGTAATTTTTGATATCAGTTGATATCGAACAATGTTTTGGATAAAAAAAAAGAAATCTGCCTAAAATATAAAAAAGACTGTCCTACTATTTTTATGAATTGAACATTAGAGTTAATATCCGTTGCCTGGATACAAAAGTTTCCATGGACCACAAGTGTTATTTATCGTTCAAGCGAAGTAGACCATAAAATCTAAAATAGATATGGCAAAATGTAAACTTAATTTGACTTTCATCTGTTCACCTAGTGGAAGGGTATAATCTCAATTTAAAGGAAGATGCTCGGATAAGTAGTCTTTTTTTTAAGAACACAGTTATCAAAATAGAGAAAGATATCATTGGCATCAAAATGAAAAAAAACTGTTGCTCATTAACCAAAACTGATACACTCATGATCATGATTTGTTTTATAAATTTAAAGTGAACGTTATCATTTAAAGTGAACATCATCATGAATGCCACTTAAATTCAGTTAGAGATGATGATTGACGAAAAAGGCTTAGTAGAAATTTATGTAAATAATAACATAATATTTACAACAAAAATATTTACCCATAGGTACATTGCCAATCCATGTTCCACTATTTGAACACCGAAGCTCACTTGTTTTGTTTCGACAAGAATATTTTAAGGAATTACAGATAAAATGTAATGTAGTGTTATATGAAAATTCTGAAGACCAAACTGCTTGAGATTTTTGTTGTGTTTGATGGCGAGAATTCTATTGCTTTTATAGCATAGTGTCCACATGAAGTATCATTTGGTTTAATACGTTATAGGCGATCATA